CCTAGTGTTCATTTTGTTATCTCTCTGCCTCTCTCTTCGTCGTCGTCGTTCCCCTTCATGTTTTCCGCCAGTTTTCAACTACCTGTCAAAAAGCACTACTCCTGCCCACTGCCACGGTCTCTTCGGAGGCCGTTTCTTACAGTCAAGTCTTAGACAAATGGCCAGATATCAGAACCTTGAAAAAAATCCACTGCAGGATCATCTTACATCTGAACCTCAACTCCTGCATTTCCTTTGGCATCAAGTTGATGCGGGCCTATGCTGCTCGTGGCCAAACCAGTATTACCCGCCAGATATTCGATAGAATTCCCGAGAGAAATGTTGTGATTTTTAATGTTATGATTAGAAGCTACGTCAACAACCATCTTTATCATGATGCTCTCTTCATGTTTAAGAGCATGAATTCGAGTAACACGAACCCTGATTATTATACATTCCCCTGTATTCTAAAAGCTTGCTCTGCCTCTATGGATCTGCGGGTTGGCTTGCAAGTTCATACCCAAGTCTTGAAAATGAATCTTGATGGAAATTTATATGTCGGGAATGGTTTAATAGCCATGTATGGGAAATGTGGGAGTTTGACGGGTGCTCGTTCTGTCCTAGACGAGATGCCCAGGAGAGATGTTGTCTCTTGGAACTCAATGGTCGTTGGATAATAGCGAAGAAAGATTTTAATTTGGCGAAGCATCCCGAGATTGATGTCCCAAACTTGCAGGTGATTAAGCTGATGCAGAGCTTCAAGTCCAAGGAGAACGTCCGGGAAACCTTCGCTTGGATGCATTACTACTGGTATCTTACGAACGACGGCATCGAGTTCTTGAGGACTTACCTCAATCTTCCCTCTGAAATTATTCCTGCTACTCTTAAGAAGTCCGCCAAGCCCCTCAGTCGTCCTATGGGTGGACCTCTTGGTGACTGCCCTCGCGGACCACCAAGGTTTGATGGGGGTAGGCCCAGATTTGGTGACAGGGAGGGGTATCGTGCTGGTCCCCTAGACCTCCTGGTGAGTTTGGTGGTGAGAAAGGTGGAGCTCCTGCGGATTTCCAGCCTACTTTCAGGGGTTCTGGTGGAAGGCCTGGCTTTGGCCGTGGATCTGGAGGTATAGTTCAGCACCACCAAGTTCAAGCTTCTCTTAGATTCATGTTTTGCTAAATTATGTTATTTGCAATTTAGGCTCTCAGATGTTGCAGTTGAAAGTTATGCATGTTGAGATACGTAGTTGATTGAGACTTATCTATAGTTTTGGTTGCTCTAGGTCTTCAAATCAATCTAATGAATTTCTTAAAAACATGTGGTGGCACATTTTTTCTGGTGGGGTTCCGTGGGTTTTGCTCATTATTATTATTATTATTTGCTTCTGAAGCTGAGACCATGTCCATCACGAGGAAGCAGATGCAGACTGCAGAGAGACGGAGGAGGAGGAAAATGGGAAAAGGAATGATGAAAGCTGGAAGGAGGACAAGAAATGGCAGCAGTCAAGGGATCGGATACAATGGGAGATCACGTTAGGAGGTTTATTGTTTGGACGAAATCAGCATTTGAGAAATTGGATGAGATTTACAGGTCATTTGATAGGGGATTAAAGCAGTCATCTGGTAAACTTGAGATATTAAAGCATTTCTATAATCTTAAGATATTAACTATATATGTCAGGCTGCTATTTGAGCTGCAAATTTTTTTTGCATCTGTTACATAGAAACTTTCTTCAAGTGAAGAACATTTAACTATTGAACTTTGATAAAGATATGAGTAGGGTAAGGGCGAATATATACATCAACATTGAAAAGCCGGTATTCATTACAAAAGGCAAAGACAACAAAGCAGTTATTGCAAGTAATATAATGTGAGATGTTAAACTACATTTTCATTCTGATGGAGTAGGTAGTAGTAACTAGGCATTCTTATGTGATAACTTTATCTCAGTTAACTATTTGCAAATGAAATTTATTTAGGCAAATGACCGTGAACTCCAGTTTTCCACGGTTGATGGTGATTTCAAGAAGTTTGAAGGAAAATGGTCTGTCAAATCTGGTAAAAGGTAAATTCTGGTGTAACATATTTTGCATCTCCTTCCTGGTGATGTGTGTTTCTGAGGATGATTAAAGACTCAAGTATCATTTGGTTCTTAACATTCTAGGACTTCTTTTTGTGTGCCTAAGATGTTGTCAAATTTAATAGTTTGATGGTCATATTTTGATCAGCTATTGATTTGTTAAATTAAGTGGCGTTTATTAGATCAGCTATTAAATTAAGTGAAGTTCAAGGATGAACACTATCACACACATGAGTTTTCTTGATGAATGGATTCACCTTGTCAAATTTATCTTGCATCGAGCCTCCAGTGATGAAGAGTCTAGCTATAAAACTGATAAACGCCTATAAAGTATATATTTTCCATTATATAAGCAGCGAATGTCCTAATAATTGGAGTTAGATTTTGGAAGAAATACAGCATTTTTAGAGGTGGGGACACCTAGAAAAATTTGTGTCTTATTATCTAGAAGTAGTCCCATTCCTCAAGGTCTGAGTAAAGCATGTTAAAGTAGCGACATGTACTGCTTTTTCATGCTTAATATAAGTGGTACAGGAAGACATTTTTATTCGGCCGAAGTTGGTTGCTAATCGGTAGTTCAAGACTTTGGCACTCAGATTACACTTTTTCTAGAGGGAATGGAATGGGTCCTGTTTTCGGCTTCAATTAAATAGAAAAGAGCGTTGTCTTTGAGGTCATAGATGAGAGCTGACAAGATAGAAAATGGAACTAGATTATGAATCAGGATGAGAAACTTGTTTGTACTTTCAACTTCCTTAGTGGGAGATGTCTGTGATAAAAATCATGGAGCCATGTTTTGAAGCATACTTTTGTTTGCAGGTCGTGCTAACTCCGACACATTTAGCTATTGTGATGGAATATGCTGCTGGTGGAGAGCTCTTTGCAAAAATTTGTAGTGCTAGTGGATTCAATGAAGATGAGATGTAAAAACATGCAAAATATATTTCGTTTGCCTTGATCTCATTTTCTTTTGGCATTGATTTTATAGAGAGATACTTATGGGACTTTCTTATTGTTAAAACGCAGGCTCGCTTTTTCTTCCAGCAGCTAATATCTGGTGTTAGTTACTGTCATTCAATGGTGAGATATTAGAACTATTTATTCTTTTTGAGTCCTCTTATTATTATCTCATTGTTCTCTCAACGCAGGAAATCTGTCACAGGGACTTGAAGCTAGAAAACACACTTTTGGATGGGAGTCCAACACCACGTCTTAAAATATGTGATTTTGGTTATTCTAAGGTTACAAATCTTTGCATTTGGAATTAAAAAAAATTGTGATTCAATTGACTTCATATTTTTTTGTGGATAATTTGAAATTTTGTTGGTTTCTGGCATTTACTTGCAGTCTGGTTTGTTGCACTCACAACCCAAATCGGTAGTTGGAACACCAGCATCTATTGCACCTGAGGTCCTGTCAAGGAAGGAATATGATGGGAAGGTCTGTATCATCAAAATTCTTGAAGAATTTACAGAGATTCTCTCCCTCTGAGCATTAGTTTCCTCTTCTCGTTAACTCTTCACTGTGATAGTATAATGGGATTTCCTCCCTTTTGCTGTGATATGGTATTACTAGATCGACTAGTATCCCCAACTTGCATCCAAACATAGTCAAAAGTAGTAGTACTGTTGCTTCTAAATCAGCAATATGGCCCTTGTCTCAAGTATCTTGTAAACTTTGTGCTAGTGGTTATGCTTGTTCAGTTCATTTCTTCCTGCTTAACAGGCAGGCACTGCTGCCTACTTTCTGCTCATTAAATAGTTTTGTCTCAAGAAGGTCTTCATTCATTTTGTAATTGCTGTCTATTTTCTAGATTGCAGATGTATGGTCATGTGGTGTGACATTGTACGTGATGTTGGTGGGAGCTTATCATATTGACTTAATTGGATTTTTGTTCAGTATGACTATTCATTCAAATTCAGTAGTGTATGCTTGTAATGGCATATTTTTTGACTGAAATCGATTCTAATGCATATGATACTTTTCTTTCAATGCAGTACAATGCTATTAAATGCTCTTGAGGAGGTGAAAAAGGTTGGCTTTTGGATATGCTCATGAAGATGACTTCAGTTTGACACAAATTGCTGCTTTAGTCTATGTTTTTGTTTGGAAAGAGTACTTTGTTTTTTTGGATGCGTAATGGTTGCTACTAGTTGAACTAATGTGAATTTAGTACTCTATTGTTTGGATGGATAATGGCTGTTAGTAGTTGAACTAATGTGGGCTTTGGAACCCATTTTGGTTAATGTGTGTTGTGATGAATTTAGAGATGTTTATAACTATATATATATATATATTTGAGGGTTCATTGTACATTAATTACTATCATTTTTTGCATTAGTCGAGCCGCAATTTTCTGCTATGGTTGTTGAAAATGCAATAGAATTGCAGCTCTTGTAGACAAAGTTGTAAGTTCACTAAGTGACGATTATTCTTGTCACAAAATACTAGGAGTGAGAGTGACAAGTTTAAGTCGTCACTGTGCGCGTTCAAATTTGTGATGACCTCTGCTATCTTTTATGACAAAAAAATTTTGGAAACAGTGACAAGAAACTTCGTCACAGAATACTATTCTTTAGTGACGACTTAGTCTTCGTCATTAAATAATAATATTTAGTGACGACTTTGTAGAGGTTGTCACACGTACCCATTTGTGACATAGAATTAGTGACAACGATGTGACAATGGAAAAAGTCGTCACTATATTCATATAATGACGACTTTCTTATTTTTAGTGATAACTTTTTATTGTCACAAAAGGCCAAATTTCTTGTAGTGCTTCCAAGACAAAGATGCATAAAAAATTCACCAATGAATAACTTAAACAACTCCTTCAAGGATGGCCTAACCAACCTGGGTCTGTGGGTGTGTGTACAATAGTACATGCAATATGTACCGGGCTTCAGTTCAGCCCTGGGGACCAGAATGTCTTATGACAGGAAATTGAGGTGATGAATCCCAACATTTCAATTAAAAACCCTTCCATCAAAGTCAATGAATAAGCCTATGGTCTCAAACAACGGCCGAAGTGTCCACTGTCAGTTTACCCAATACCCATAACACGTAAAATACCCATAAGCTACTAAAGCACCATAAATTTCAAGTCTACTGAAATACGTAGAATTTAAATTTTTAATAAATACACGAGATCCTAAAAAGATTACCCATTCTTCAAAGTGGGTAAATTCGATCTTCAGCCAAGTTCCCAGGAATATTAAAATTTACTCTTCCCTTAAACTCTTCATTGGTTGCATCAGTCGTGAATATTGATGGCATTCATAAAAAAAGAATGGAACGCATAATTTATCAATGTATCAACATCAGTTTGAAGCCCTATTTCAGCACACAGCTTTTATAAAAACTCCATGAAGTCAAAAGAATAGAATCTTGCAAGCACCAGATGCACACCTTCCCATTCTCCAAGTTGGTTCATCATTTGTCTTCCTTTTGCAACAAGAGAGGTCCAAGAAATAAAAATGATACAGGCATTGGAGAGGACTTCAAATATAACTGAAACTCATTCATTTCTGTCACATAGTGATAAGCCTCAGCAACGCTTGGCTTCTGGTGTAAATATATCCAAAAACAATTGCAAACAAGTTGTCTGCCACAAGATTTTAAGCTAACTCTAAATTGTCCACTTATTATTTGGGCCCTAGAAGAGTGCAACATCTCATGCCTATACAAGTCCCTTTAGGTATGAATAAAAGACAATTATCCAAAGCTGCTGCAATGAAGAATGCCTTTTTAATGTTAAAAGCAAAACTGAAGCTTATATATCTATTTCTTGAGAACTCAAAATAGATGATTGGCAATCAGCTATATATTTCATGCATATAATATCTGATGTCTCAAATGCCGAACAAAATTGGACTAACAGTCTTCTCCTTCCAGAAATATGATCACTTAAGACCATGTCATTCTTTAGAGAAATATAACGATACACTTATTAAATTGCTTTTATATTTAAAAAATTTTTCTTATGCCAGAAAATATTGCATATCTTCTATCTATTGTTTCCGATTTATTTTCAAAGAAAACAATGCAAAGGTTCCGTATTAGTAAGGTGAATTTGTGCCTAACCTGTATGAGTTATGTGCTCAAGCTTAAGCTAAGGTTACTATGTATCCATAAGCCTCTTCAAATTCAAGGAAATTGGTAACTCATATACATATACTGGAAAGCTGTGAGTGATAAAGAATTTAACCAGTGATGCATTTTGGATGTCGAATCATGTCATTTACTCAAGAAGGCACAGCAGACTTAAGCAGTCACTCGATTGAACAAGTGACAAATGACAGAGTGTAAGCAAAACAACTTGAATAAGACTTGTAAACAAGGACTAAACCATACTAATCTGTGACCTAAAAATGCACCGGCTACAAATAAATGGATGAAGTGGAAGATCATATGCAAAAAAATTTGAAACCAGCTACTAGACTCATATGTTAATAACCTATTGGCAGGATAATTGACATCTTATCCTTCTGTTTGTCAGCAAACCGAAATCTTAATCAAGTTTAGAACCCAAAAATCATAAACATTTTTCCTAGACTAAGTTCAACAGATGGAAATAGTGTTAAATGCATAATTTTGCCATTATTCTCACAGATGAAGACCATTAGCATTACACTTCATTTCCAAAAATTTATCACGTTTAAAACAGTAAACAACTTTAGTTTGTTTGCCCCCCCCCCTCTCCAATACCTAATGCATTTGAACAACACAACATGCCTGTGCCTATCTTCTGCACAGCTCACCCAGTTCTCCAAACTTCCTCAGTTTTATCAATTAGTCGCCGTCCCATTCGCCGTTTACTTATGCTTAATCTTTCAAACATCTCTTTCTTTAGAAACCAATTCTGTAACATTGCTACTCTTCATCTTAAACCAAAACAATTATAGCAGCGAACACATTATGCCAGTAATTCAAGTCCGCTACAGTCTTATTCACTTCCAAATACCCCAAGTTCCCAACCTTGCCCAGAATTTAAGAATCCCATAAAACCAAGTTCACTAAACCAATTTAACTGTCCTGATTCTCAAGTCAGCATGAATTTTCTTTGTCTAAAATTTCCTTATTTTGACATTATTCCAGAGAACTGACAAGAGACAAAACCAGCAGAATTCATTACCTTTTCAAGAATTGACATGGCTTCTTTTGTTGCCCTCTTCTCCCTCTCTACATAACAAAGGAAGCATTTTTATCAATCACCACACTGCCCAGACTATCCCAAACAATCAAATTGAAAATTTTCAAAAACCCAGATGCAAATTTCATAAATAAATGCCAGTGAGGTACAAAAATAGGAAAAAAAAAATAGCTTTCTGGACAGAAGATATGGGATGAGGGGCCTTACTGATGGGGCAGGTGATGAGGAATCCGGAGTGGGAATGACTGAGGAGAGAAGAGGGGCGTTGTAGTCAAAACGAGGAATGGTGATCACAGCAGAGTGCTGCTCCCAGGGCTTCAGCTCCTCCTTGGTTTTCAGTTCCACTTTCATTGCTTCTTCTTCCAATTCTTTTGCTTTTTCTTCTGTTTTTGCTGTCACAAGTTTTTCCGCCATTCTTTTCTGAGTCTGGTGTTTCATTCCCAGTACTATTGAGTTAATGGATTGTAATTTGTATGGCAAATGATACTCGTATTTATATTTCGCAAATGAGGTTTATACTAACTTTACTAATATAAAACGTGATTTATACTAAATAATTTAGGTCCTTTTTGATAACTCAATTTCCCACGATTTAAGGGTGCCTTTGATAAAACTAGAGTCTTAAAATTGAAATCTAATTCCATTAAATTATTGATTTGTTAAATATTAAATCAAATATATTTTAGTGTATCACATTCACTGATAAATGAATAATTTATCACTTATTTTTTTAACAAGTTTTGCCTAAAAAATTCAATACCACTTAATTAATTCAAATGTTCAATTTTTCGTTATCAAACATATTAGAACATATTAAGATCTGAATCCATTAAATTTAAGTGCTGAATTGGTTAGTAAACAAGGTCTAAATTAATTAAGTGGTATTGAATTTTCTAGACAAAATTTGCTTCCAAAATGAAAATAGAAATCTGAAGTTTGAATTCATTAAATTATTTAATTGTTAAATACTAAATATGATACATTGGCGCCTAGAAAATTCGGTATAATTTATTTTTGAAGCAAATTTTGCCTAAAAATTCAGCGTCATTTAATTAATTTAGTTGTGCAATTTTTGGTTACCAAATGTGCCAAACATGTTAATATCTGAATCCATTAATTTTAAGTGTTAAATTGAGTTATCAAATTGAGCCTAATACTTAACAATTCAACAACTTAACTTTATAGAATTCAAACTTCACACTTTAGTTTTCAACTTTAATTTTATCAAACGCACCTTCCTTTTACCCAAATTCTACCAAACAGAATTTTTCTACATATTACCACCCTCACAATTCACAAAGTCATTTTAACAACTAAATCTATTAACTAATGTCAGTCGGTTTGGACCATTGTGTGATATCAAAGGTTAAAAAAAAAATTCAGACTTGTGCACAAAAATAAGACAAAAAAAAAAAGGAGAATTGCAGTTTCAGTCTCCAATTTTTAGCATATGTGCTAAATTAGTTTCTAATGTTCCAATCAAAATAAATTTGCTTCTCAAAGTTTTTGGTAGTAGGTGCATTCAATAATAATGAAAACTCAACAATGACTAACGGTCAAAATTTAATTATTGTTATTTAATAATTTTGACTTTCTACTTTTGGACCCTAATATTTGAAATTTTAATCATTTTAGTCTCTTAAGTTTTCAATAGTGGTATTGAGGGTATTAGGATAAAATAAGACACGAATTACAACACAATTGTCTTAAATGGATACTAGCAATTCTAATTAAAATTTTTATTTTTTACTTCATTTATTCATGCCACTAATGTCTCATATACTTCTTCCCTTTGGTATAATTGGTCTCAAATTTGGTATTATATATGTGATTTTTGTTTTATACTATTAGTAATTAACTGATGATTAACCCATAATAAGTAAAAGCACTTCATATTGGTATTTATGTTTGCTGGTTTTTATAATTGCAATACCTAACTATAATAATTTAAGGCCTATATGCACAAGTCATGCAAGAACTGGCATGAATGATAATAAATTTTATATTAATACTAGAATTTTCCTTTTTTATTTTATATATTATGTATATATTGTCATTTGATTGTAACTTGTTCAAAAAAAAAATAAAACTCTTTAAGTTCAATGATATTATTATGTCGATATAAAGTGTTTTTATGAAATTTTATAGGAATTTAGGATGACATTTGTCATATCTTTAGTTCAATGCACAACTTTTCTTTCATTTTAAAACCCTTAACTATAACTAGAAACTTAAGAGACCATATTGATTGAAACTTCAAACATTAGGGACTAAAAATGTAAAGTTAAAATCAGAAATTTAGAGACCGGATTTGTTTTGGCTGATACATTAGAGACCAGTTTGATGTATAGGTCAAACATTGAGAATCAAATTTGTGTTTCTCCCTTTGGAAATTTTTGAGAAGTAGTAATAGAAAGATTTAAAATTCTTAAAAACATATTAGTTTTGGCAAATTCACATATTCCTAATATCTAATAAAACACGTCATAATCAAAATTACCAAATTAACCTATCCAACCAAGCAAGCCCCCACTCTAATCATCTAGTCCCTAAATTCCCTTTCTTACTCTTTTTGAGTGGGAAATGAATTAGCCCAAAAATCTGAGCACTACAAAAAAAGTGAAAACCACACTTTCTTTTGTCATAGTTCTCAATTCGTGTATAAAAGTGACTTTTTGACATGGTTTTAGTAACCGTGATGTCAAAAACTTCTTACCACACTTTTGTTGGTAACAACAATAAATCGTGGTAATTATGCTACTATTTGCCACGGTTGATTAATCATTGTATTTTTTTTCTTGGGCTCATGAATTGGATTCTAGATGTACTTTAATATTGACTTTGTGCCTTTTTAACTTCTTTGGTGATAATGTGATACTAATTACAGTTTTAACATTGTTTTGTAGGGTACGATTAGTAATGATGGGGAATGTGAAAAAATTCATCCAGCTCATTCGTTCTCAGATGTTTTTGGAAGTAATTTGTAATCATGAAATCTTTATTGGGTGGTCCCAAAATGTTAGTGTACTAGAGATGTTCTTCTAAAGGGTTAGACCATTGTATTAGCTTTCAAATGGTAATCACTTTGGATTGGCATAATTTCGTGCAATATATGCTATGTTTTTGGTAACTTGTACGCACTTATTTGTGCGATTTTTAATAAAAACTTTAGCTATTTTACTTGTGTAAATTATGGCAATAGATCTTAAACATTTATCTTTTGATATTTCTTTTAAGGGCAAATTTCACTTTACCCCCCCTGCGGTTTAGTGTTTTTTACATAACCCCCTAATGGTTTAGATCAAAAAATCAAAGTGACGGAAATGATCATTCGTAACGGAGTCACCTAAAATGTCAAAGATACTCTTATGTAAAGTTAAAAATTATTTATTAACCAAGGGAGGTTATGTGTATATTTTGAAAATCATAAGGGAGTTATATGGTAAAGTATTAAGCTATAAGGGGGTTATATGGTAAAATATAAAAATCATATAGGGTTAGTGTGTCATGTATTTATAGGGTAATTTCGAAATTTTTAGAAATTCCGTTACGAATGACTATTTCAATTACTTTGACACTTTAATCCAAACCATGAGGGGGTTATGTATAGCTTTTGAAATCATAGGGGGGCTATTTAAAAAATACTAAACCACAGGGGGTAAAATATAATTTACCCTTCTTTTAACAACATTGGAAATTAGGATGATTAATAAGAACCTTTCTCCTCGGAACCAAAACTGTGAAATTAGTCCATGACAAAGACCTTTCTCAATGCTTTCCAAACCGTGGCTACAATTTGTTGCAAAAAAGTATTGGTAACAGTTTCGAACCATGTTAAAAACTGTGGTAAATAGTCAATGATATATATCATAGTTCTTTTATGACGAATTTAAAACTGTGATTTTTCAGTGGTAAAAAGTATTTATCACGGATCCAAAACTGTTGCAAAGCATTTGCGACGGCTGTATACAAGATGCCTCCAAAATCGTTGCAAATTTGTGGCAAATACTATTTTACTGTTTAAAGTACTTTTTATCACATATTGGATGCGCGGCAAAAACTGATTTTTTTTTTTGGTAGAGGAGGCAATCCTTTTAGGACTATCAAAGGGATCTGGTCAGCTTGAACTCGGTTCTTAAAAAAAATCTAATGAGCCTGACCTTTCATTGAGTTGGGTTGAAGTTGGGTCTAATCCCAAATTAAATGTGAGCAGAGTTTGGGCCTTAATAGGATCAAACCCAATAGAGGTTCAACCCTTTAATATGCATATATATATATATATATAATTATATGTAATATATTCATATTTTGATATACACATATATAATTATATATCTAAATATATAATAATACTTATGAGTTATTTGTCAATATATATATAAGGAATATTAAATATACAAAATTATGTCAAAAGATTTAGAAGGAGAAATCTTAGTACGAGCAAATTGAGGATCTTTGAAAATTTATTGACTATTGATCATATTTTATTACTATTTTCCATGTACATTGAATTAATTGGATATATTATTGTTGAAAAATTCTTGGTTTATATATTTTTTTAATGAACTATTACCGGTTCTTGTATAGTTTTAATGTTATGGTCATGTGGATATTAAATTAGTTTAATACTCAATAATTATAGTAATTATATTAGAGAAATTAAGGAATTACAAGTGAGCTTAAGTTAAGTTCGAATTAAACTCACAATCTAAATATTTTGTGAGTCAAGTATAAGTTTCACATTTATCAATCTAAAACCCATACTTCGAAATTCGAAAGTGATACTAACTATAAAAGCAGAACCTGAGTTTGTTAAATCTCGCTTCAAATGGCCCAATTGACATGCCTAAATCCTTCCCTTCTTTTGATTTAAATGAAATTAAGTTTAAACCTATAGTTTAGTACTCATATTCTTTTGTACCCAAACAGCCTTTTGACTTTTGAAAAAAATTACCCGAAATACTACAAGTTATCTTCACCTTAATTAGAATTATTTCAAGTAATCATGAAAGTCAAGTCACATAATCAATTTTGTTGTTTAGGTTCTATTTTTCTTTTTTAGTTTTTTTATTCTAACCGTAAAAAAAGGTTCCTAATCACAATACTACTATGATTGATCATGGAAGTATATTGTTTGGATTGCATTTTCTGGAAGGGTATATTGTAACACTTTTTTAGATGTGATGTATATGAAGTAAAAAGATAATTGAAAATGTGTCAAGGAAATATTTCCGAAAAACATGAGATTTTTGTCCCGAGAATGGCAATCCAAGCAAACTAGTATATTGGCATACTACTGCAAATTGACCTTTTTTCTACAAATATATTATTTTTTATAACTTAAACTATCCAAAAACAAAAAAGATCTCTAATCAAAATATTGAATTGTTATGTTCAAACTTGTAACATATATGCTTCTAATAAAACAAAAAAAATTATGAAAAAGATCAATCTTTAAAA